ATACTGAGCAGTGAGGGGAGAGAGGGAAATGAGTGTGCGTTTGGTATGCCACAACCCCACCTTTTATTGTTTGCGTAAGCTTGAGAAACATTGTTCTATAGAAGCATATGTTCCAATCATAGAGAGTAAATACAGTGCTGGGTTGAACTGTTCGGTTCTTGGTGTTCTCTGAGCTTGGTGGTTTTCCTGCAGATGTTTTGTTACTGGACTAGATGACACCATCATTGATGATGTAACTTAATCGGGTAACAAAAGATCTATAGGAAAGCAGCTGTGCTCAGAGAACGCCAGGAACCTAACAGAAGCCTAGTGAAGCTCTCTATTTTGTCTCATGGTTTAAATGTTTAGCCTTGCCCAATGCAAACCTGTTGACCCTTCTGATGGCAGAATGGCTATGTCAAGGAAGTCTGATGGAAGTTACATATTTTTTAGTAATTAGTATATTTATTCCAAAAGGAGCAAATCAGGCAAATTCAGTCATAATTTTAGAGGTTCACAGTAATAAAATTTGAGGATCCCTAATCTCCTGAAAAATGACTATGGTTTATTGTCGTTATTTGTCTCACAGGAAGAGAATTTGAAACGAGCCAAACAAGGGGACCTTAAAATCAGCATTCATCGCATGGAGGTGGAACGAATCCGTTACGTTCTCAGCAGTTACTTGCGTTGCCGACTCCGGAAGGTAATAACCCCATCATGACTTGTTAGAAAAGTCAAGGGAGTTTGTGAATAGCAGAAGCATTTAGAATTGCTCTGGGCCTGTTTTTAATGCGGCAGCCAAATGCCTCTTTCCTGGCCTTTCAGTATCTATTAAACATCTCAGGACAGTTGTATTGACTGGTGGATTTCATTTTGCAGGCTGCCAAATTCTCTAGTAATGATTGACGATTTTTTTCCATATACCCTTCTCTGTCAAGGGAATCAGACCTGGACTAGATTCACATAACAAATTGAGCTGAACTATTTTTGGTTAATGTGTTTTGTGAACCTAACCATAGTCCTAACATTTGTTGTGATCCAGGTGTTCATATGAAGCCAAAATATGGTGAATTTGGTCAGGGTATATTAGGCGAATGCAGCTACTGTATTTTGGTAACCTGGGTTTAGGCACATGAACCCAACTCTGGTATGGGAGGCTAGAAGAGGTAGGTCAATGTAGGCAATCCAAAGTCCTCCAGATGTTTTGGACTACGGCCTCCAGAAGCTCCCACCGTTGGCTGTGCTGGCTGGAGCTGGGGAACTGAAGTCCAAAACACTTATTGGGAATTGTGCCTATTCCTAAGCTTGTGAGTTTGGGAGCTGTAGATCTTGTGAAAACTCACACTATGTGATCCAGTTGGGGATGTCTTTCAGTGCTTTGCGGAATCTTCAGCTGGACCTTCCAAGACAAATCATGGTTGTGTATTTAGTGTGCAGAAAGTTTCACTTCTGAGCTTGGCATCTCCAGCTGCAGGATCATGGAGAGCTGCTGCTGGAGGTCATCAATCCCTGGAGGCGAGGGAACACATTGTAAGAGCAAATCCTAACACACAGACTGGGAACCAGATTGGGGAAACCTATATGGTATCATCTAAGTTCTGCCTAATGGAAGGAGCATGTTCCTCTGCATTTAAATTTTGAATGGGCTCTTTTCTATGGCCCTTGTACCAGCGTCCTCTGCAGGGGTAGCCTTGCAAGCAGATTCCTCTCCAAGAAGTTGAGAAGCTTAAGCTGCATCAGGAACAGTTGCTATGTTTCTACTAGACACGGTTTACTTCTCCAAGGCCATAATAATTAAATAACCTGATAATTCTTCAAAGGCAAGAATGAAATCAGCTTTTTCTGCTGGTTTATAATGATTATGAGAAACTCTTGTCCTCTCCTTTCTCTACTTTTTTCAGTTTTTGTGTCTTCTTAATTCTTGATGCTTCTGTCCGCTCTTCTGCGATCTAAGGCCTTCCAGATATGTTGGCCTTCAACTCCCATCCAACATGGTCACTGTTGTAGGAGTTATTTCCAGCAGATCTTGAAGAAGGGGAAGCATTGTCAGCAACAGGTGTCAATTCCTTGGACACAAAGACTTAGTCAATAGGAAGTCAATAGTGTCAGGAGCAAGAGATTTTTGGTCCCCTTGCTGGCTTTCAGCAGTGCAGAAGTGCACCGATACTCTTATCTTTGTCGTTTATTTCCTCTGAAAGATTGAGAAATATTTCCCCCACATCCTGGAGAAGGAAAAGATTCGGGCAGAAGGAGAGCCATCCATCCTGTCCCCAGAAGAGTTTGCCTTTGCCAAAGAGTGAGTAAAGAGCCGCGGGGGGCGGGGGGGCAAAGAGCAGCCCTTGCCCTCCCGTAATCTATTCACTTAACTGTAGTTGCATTTTGTTATCCTATGTAGCTAAGTGAAAGAGGAAGTCTACTCCTTTCTTTCTTTAAAATGAAGTGACATGTTCTTTTCAGGTACATGGCGAACACAGAGAACCATCTCAAAAACGTGGCGCTGAAACATATGCCTCCAAACCTGCAGAAAGTTGATTTCCTCAAAGCTGGTAAGGAGGGAATGCAGGGAGGGGCGGCTTTCCTTTGGTCAGGCCCTCCCCCTTGGGCCCATAACCAGCTGGGGAGGTGCAGATGATATCTTGGAAAGGCTGGGGCTGGACCTGTGGGCCAAGCAGAATAGGAGAAGCAGGCCTTGGAAAGCAATCCGCGCAGCTGGTAACAGCGCATGCATCCGCAGAGATGCTGCGGAAATGTTGCCTAGCAGACTTTGGTTAGGTTTGGTTCTGTTTTATGATTTTTTTATCCTGCCTTTATTATTTTTATAAATAACTCAAGCCGATGAGCATACCCAATATGCCTTCCTCCTCCTATTTTCCCCACAACAACCCCGTGAGGTGAGTTGGGCTGAGAGAGAGGGACTGGCCCAAAGTCACCCACTCAGCTTTCATGCCTAAAGTGGGATTAGAACTCACCGTCTCCTGCTTTCTAGCCTGGGGCCTTCACCACTAGACCAAACTGGCTTCCTTCTCAATGGTAATATGTTGCTGAAGAAAACCTTTTCCCCCTCTTCAATCTTTCTTTGCAGTTCCCAAGCCCAACCTGGACTCCTTTGTCTTCTTGAGAGTGAAGGAGAAGCAGGAAAATATAATGGTGATGCCAGAGCACGATGAACAGAGGTTGGAAGCGCCATTGGTTAAGAAGAGCAAAGATAGTAACGAAATAGCATTGGCTGGTCACGACTGGCTTTTTGTTGGCTAAAGAGATCTTTCAGGAGCACCATGACGGGATCTTCTCTCCTTCCCTCTTTAGTCTCACATACTTGGTACTCCTGAAAGATGCTCCCCTGACTCTCAAACTTCCACTATTGGTACAAATCAAATTCCAACACAAATTCAAGCAAGGGGATCTCGGTCTTCCATTGTTTATTTATTTATATATCAAATTTGTCACCACCCATCTCATTAAAAAATGACTCTGGGTGGTTTACAGAGAAGCTAAAATCAATTAAAAATACAATATAAAATAGTCCTGAATAAATAAGAAATATAGTCCAACACAAATTCAAGCAAGGGGATCTCGGTCTTCCATTGTTTATTTATTTATATATCAAATTTGTCACCACCCATCTCATTAAAAAATGACTCTGGGTGGTTTACAGAGAAGCTAAAATCAATTAAAAATACAATATAAAATAGTCCTGAATAAATAAGAAATATAGTCCAAGAATTGATGTTAATTGGCAAGTAGTTCGGGGAGCGTCATCAGGGCACCAGTCACCCTGATGACGCTGATT